CAGGTCTTTACAAAATATGTAGTTGTAAGTATTTTTAATAATTTATTGTTAATTGTTATGATTAATATATTGTAGTCACAATATTTTTGTACCTTGAAGAAATAAGTTCTTTGCACTGTGAGTTCAGTAGTAGGATGTCACCATAAGGAAGGCATTAGCAGTCAATTTATAATCAGTATTGCCGGTGTCAGATAAAAGTTTTAGTACTGATCTATTTTTACGCCCATGACATTTTTAGGCAATGGTGATGGTTTTTAGCATTTCAAAGTGGCATGTCACATAAAGATGCTAATATATTTTACAGTGAAGAACTTAAAATTATTATAATTTAAAATTTCAACTTCATAAAAATCGTGTAGATCAAAAGCCTGCCTACTCATGCATGCAGGTCTTCTGCTTAGAATAATACTGTCCAGGCTTGCAAAATGAACTCATATAGATCTATAGAGCCTTGACTGCAAGTAGACCATTGCCAGTTGCAGACTTGTCCCTGTCTTCATCATGAAGTTATTTTGATCCTATGTCTGATCCTTCTTTTACCGATGAAAAGCGGCTCCCAATATCTGGATCCCCACTCCGCTTTTACCGATGAAATCCCGCTCCCCATCCCCATCCCCACCCTGCTTTTACCAAGTCCCCTTCATCATCTTCATCATCAACTTGAGTCCTGTCAATTCAGTTGTCGGTGTGTATCTCAGTATCAGTTGGTGCTACAAGAATAATTCTTACACCAATCTACTCCAACAGTCTATGCGCAGGTCCATGTCCCATCAGATCATTCTTCAAGTAAGGAAAAAGTGATACTGTGACTGCTGGATCGAGCCATCTTAGCTACATGCCGCCGTTTTGTTAATTACAGAAGCTTGCCATATGCTCCAAAATTTGGGTGTGGTCGCGCATGCTCAAATCTGCAGCTCTGGAAGAAGTAAGTTACTTTTTTACCAAGCTATGCTTGGTTGGAATCAACTTACTGCAATACTTAGTGGAGGTTTCCAGCTAAAAGAAGGTATTGATTTTACATGTTACTGTTTTATCAAGTGTGTTATTTTATTTTAAAAAATAAACAATTAATGTTATGATTCATGATAACAGCCTGGAAGAACAGGAATAGCAGGGAAGATGGACACTCTTAGCTCACAGATTCTTGAACAAGGACTAGTCAAGACTAGTATTAGTTTCACTCGTCATCAGGATAGTTGATTTTCCTTCAGCATGTCTATTCAATGCTGTCTCTCATAAATGTTATAACAATGATAATAATAATAAAGAAAATTATTGTTTGTGTAAAATCAACAAGTATCACAATTGCAACTAAAGAAATACTATAAATATTATTTTAAAAATCAACACAAACTAGAACATAAAAAATTTTAAAAAAAGAACAAGATGAAGTAGAATTCCGAACTACCAATGAAAATACGAAATATTATTAAAAAATCAGCACAAACAAGAACATAAAAATTAAAAAAACAAGAGGAAGTAGGATTCCGAACAACCAACGAAAATACGAAATGAAAATCCTACTCGTGATGCAAATTCTACTCTACATTGCAAGGAGATCCGTAATTCTTACATGATAACATTAAAAGTACAGTGTAGAGTAGAATTTGCGTCACGAGAAGGATTTTCATTTCGTATTTTCGTTGGTTGTTCAGAATCCTACTTCCTCTTGTTTTTTTTAATTTTTTATGTTCTTGTATAGTACAGGGACTTTGGCCTGATTTTGGAGCAACTTCAAAAATTCATTAAAAATCCAATTTTGATTGGAATCCACTCAAACTTTCTACACAACATAAGAACATGTATATGTTTGAGAAAAAATTATAAAAATGAAGAATTCTCTCCTAGTCATTTTTGGCGAAATTTGGCCAAAGACCCTGTACTATAGTACAGGGATTTTGGCCTGATTTTGGAGCAACTTCCAAAATTCATGAAAAATCCAATTTTGATTGGAATCAGCTCAAGCTTTCTGCACAACATAAGAACATGTATATGAATCAGAAAAAAATTATAAAAATGAAGAATTTTCTCCTAGTCATTTTTGGCAAAATTTGGCCAAAGACCCTGTACTATAGTACAGGGATTTTGGCCTGATTTTGGAGCAACTTCCAAAATTCATGAAAAATCCAATCTTGATCGGAATCAGCTCAAACTTTTTACACAACATAAGAACATGTATATGCGTCAGAAAAAATTTAAAAAATTAAGAATTTTCTCCTAGTCATTTTTCGTAGAATTTGGCCTGATTTTGGAGTAACTTAAAACATTTCTAAAGCAATTAATTTTGAGCTCAAACTACTGACATCTGATTTATTATGTCTTTTTCTCCCTCTCTCTCTCTTTTTTTCCTCTCAGAAATCAATAAGTTTTCTTTCTAATGACTGCAGTTTAATTCATAACAACGTTGCCATTCATTCAGTATTTGCGGATGCTGCAGGTTTGTGTATCATGTGACTATCACATGACATCCTTTTCTCTCCTCCCCTCAGGTGAATGGAAGCTGTCAGGTGTTGAATGGATGTACTCATATAATGATACTAATGTTCCATTGAAAACATTTCAATATCTTAATAAATATGATCCACCGGAAAACATGAAGCAGGCTAAAAGGAAAATAAATTATTAATAAATAAATAATTATTATTTTTAGGTCACGTGACATGTGGGGCTTGGGTTGTCTGCTGTTGGAGGTTTTTAATGGTCCGATACATCAGAGCTCTAATTTAAGGGATACTTCAAAAGTAATATTAAAATAATTACATACGTAAATTTGTCTTGTCACTTTTTTCTCTTTTTTTCTCTCCTTACAGTTTCCAAAGAGCCTCTCCTCCCATTACTTACAGTGTGTTAATGCTAATCCAATGGCTAGGCCCAATCCATCTGAACTATTGCAGTCTTTAAAGGAGAGAGGAGGCTACCTTAGCAATACCTTCATATCACTTAACCTGAAAATAGAAGAGCTTCAAGTAATCAATATTAAAAAAAATATTTGCTACTATTAATAATTCTTTTTTTGTTTTTTCTCTCTCTCAGCTAATGGAGGCTGATAGGAAGAATCATTTCTTTGTTGAGTTGAACAAGTCACTTGATCTCTTCCCTGACTCATTTGCACATCATAAAGTTCTCCCTCACCTCCTCAATGTGTTTGAGTTTGGAGGAGCTGGTCCCACAGTCCTTGCTCCATTATTAAAGATTGGGAAACTGCTACCAGAGGATGAGTATCAGAGGAAGATAGTTTCTTGTATAGTGAGATGCTTTGGATCTAATGACAGAGCAACCAGACTAAACCTGTTGCAACACGTAAGCACAAGGCAGCATAATAATGTACATTTTACTATGAATTAAATGTCCCCCCTCTCTCTCTTTTTATAGTTGGATCAGTTTATTGATCAGTTGCAGCCTAGTGTGTTAAATAATTCCTTGTTTGGTCAGATAGTGACTGGTTTCACTGACACTGTGCCAACAATCAGAGAACACACTATTAAAGTCTGTTTATTGTGAACAATAATGATATCATCAATCTCTCTCTCTCTCTCTCCCCTCCAGGCCTCTCTATTATTAGCTCCCAAGTTAAATGATTCTAATCTAAGTCAATTATTGAAGTTTTTTGCTAAATGCCAACTAGATGTATGTTATTACACAATTATTTATATATCACTTAATAATGTTATATATCACTTAATAATTAGTTATTTTTTATACATCATCATGATACATGTATATTTTTTATACATGTACACGTTCATAGGCTGGTATTCGTACCAACACTACAATATGTCTCGGAAAGATTGCCCCTCACCTTAATAAGCAAGGTACTTGTTCCAATTAATGCACAGACCAATGAATATGATTATTATACTTTAGACTAGAGACAGGGTTCTTGTCTCAGCATTCACTCGTTCCCTTAAGGACCCGTTCCCTCCTGCTCGCTCAGCTGGTATAGGAGCACTGGGCTCCACCCTCTCTTACTACACACCCGTTGACATGGCAACCAGGATCATCCCCTCACTGAATCACATGACTGTAGACAAGGACAAGTTGATTCATTATCGATATTTTTATGTAATTTTCATCAATCTGTTGACCACACCCATTTATTAAGGTTAAATAGCTAATTTTAATGAGTAATTGTACTGTTGAACTGCAAGAAAGAAGCAACTGACCAGCTGTTAGCTCAGCCTACCTCAATAAGAAGAGAACCAAGCTCAAGGGCATGAAAATGATCTATCATGACAAGTACAGTTACATCTGTGCCAAAATCATTAGCCACACCCTTGAAACACCTCAAAATGAAGGTGTGGTTATTGTATCTTAATAATATCATAGATAGTAGAGTAAATGAAAGGGATAG